GTATTGATGTAAATCCAGGTAAAATGTAAAAATGTAGGGAGGGACTTGGTCGTATTTGTCGGTTGTTGATTGGTTCTGAATGCGAGCTTGAGGTCGACTGTAAGAAAGGGGCGGACTTTAAGCAGACTAAATGATTGGAGAAGTCTGACATACATCACTCTGTTGTTTTTACAGGAAGATCCAGTTATAACTCATGTTTTCAAACCTATATGACAGTTTTTTTTTTTTAAGTATGTCCAAGCTAAAACTAAAAAAAAAAAAAACATTTTTATTAACAGAAATAAAAATAAAAACTACTGTTACTGGGGGAAAACTAAACAGAGTTTGAAAACTAACTACAAAAAAATAACACTTTAAATTAATTGTAGTTTTTGATATACATAATCGTTCAAAAGTTTGGGGTTGGTAAGATTAATGTTTTTGAAGGAATTCTCATCAAAGCTGCATTTATTTGATCAAAAATACAGTAAATCAGCAATAATGTGAAATATGACAATTTAAAATAACTTTATTTTAATACAGTTTATATTAAAATAGTTTAATACAGTTTATACTGTAATGTATTTTAAATTGTTACTTATATGTATAATTCATATGCTAATGCATTCACAGCAGTGCCATCACAGAAATAAATAACATTTATTCAAAACAGTTATTGAGCTTTGGCAACTCTAAAATACTAAAATCTTTCATAATCTTGTGATGTGGCATAACTCTCAAATTACATTTGCACTTCCATATATTCAAACTCAGCATGTTATGTTCACCAATGTTTAGTGTCGCTGATTTGAGTAACGGTTAGGATAAGAAAAGTCATATCAGTTCAAAAGTTTGAAGTTGAGGTGAGAATTTTTGATGTTTTGAAGGACGTCTCTTATGCTCACCAAGGCTGCATATATTTAATCAAAAATACAAAATGGCAAAATTGTGATATATTATTATAATTTTACCTTTTTTCGATTTTAACATTTTAAAATGTAATTTTAATTTCCTGTGATGGTAAAGCTGGATCAGCTATTACTGCAGTCTTCAGTGTCAGTCTAATATGCTGATTTGCTGCTCAAGAAACATTTCTGATTCTAATTATTTTAGCTGAACTGCATAATATTTTTTGTGGAAACCATGATACATTTTTCTGTTTTTCCCCTCAGGATTCTCTGATGAACAGAAAGTGAAAGTAAAGTTCAGAAGAACAGCATTTTTTTTTAAAACAAAAACATTTTTTGGAATGACATGAAGGTGAGTAAAAGATGACAGAACAGTAATTTCTAAATGAATCGCTATTTTAACACACAATGTCATACTTGGCATCTACTACACTTACATCCATGCGCACACACACTTTTCGACGTGTAGTCGTCAAATCAGCAGAGAGCTGTCACTTTGTACAAAACACCCACACAGAACGCTCCGATTCCTTCACCTTGCTAATACCATATATTAAATACTTGTGAAACACACACACACATACATACACACTCCCACACAGTCCTGCTTTTTCTGCTGCTTATTTGCACCATTATAGACATACAACAGGCAAGATTATTCTGCACAGTAAACACATCACAAGCAAACATTAAACATCTGAATATTAATCTGCATATTCAAACAGAGAAACCTCTAGTTTGGAAAGGTGACACGCAGATCCAAATGCAGACACAAACGAAGGTCAGAGTCTCTGCTGTCTGGCTCTCTGACCATTTAAAGCACCTTAGGATGCATCCATCTTCATAAAGAGCAGACTCACTTATAATGCTCTCAAAGTCACATTGCTCTTGCACTCCGTCTCAGATGGAGAAAATAGAAAGTCGAATTATGAGAGGAAGACTTGAGCGAGAGCCAGCGCAGAAGACTGTGTATTTAGCTTGTATTCGAGGCCAGACACCTCACAAAGCAAACTGACTATCCTGAAGTGAGAAACAGAAATGGATAAACACAAAGTGCAAGGTGCCAGATGCTTAAAAAAAGACAAGATGCAACGGCCAAAAAAGTCCCTCTCTCAAGGTCTGAGTTTGTCTGTATGACTCTCATATTCCAGTGAACTGCTCTGAGACCCCTGAGAAAGTGTTAAAACCCACCGAATGTTCAATTTATTGAACGTCACAGAGTTTTTGCAAGGAGCATAAGCATATTAAAGGGGTAGTTCATCCAAAAAAGGAAATTAAGTCTTAATTACTAAATTAATTACTCACCCTCAAGTCATTCCAAACCCTTAAGACCTTTGTTTATCTTCAAAACACAAATGAAACCTGAGAGATTTCTGTCCTTCCATTTAAGGTTCTTTCCACTAAAACTTTGACACTTCATAAAGTTAAAAAGCAATCCTAGGGCTGGGGATATAGCTAAAAAAATGTATCACGATATAATGTTTCATATCAGTCAGTATCGGTAATTATTGAAAAAAAAAAGTAGAACCTTTTAAACAAAGAGCAGAAGAAAAAAAGGTTTATATTTAACCACTGTATTTTTTATTTACCCAGTTTATTAAGACAAACAACAAATTATTTAAATTTCAACAGTCCAACACAAAATTAAATTAAATAAATATCTCCTTTCTTATATTTTATATGCAGATTAATGTTAAAGAAACTGTGGTCTCCTGAAACCACAGTAGGGCGCAATGAGCGAAATAATGCACCGCATTAAATTATTTATTCAATGCAATGAAATAATGACTATCTACAAAAATGTGCATAAAGTCTAAACTAAAATATATAAATCAAATATAATTTCGTAAATTGCATAAGCAATTATGAACAAAACAGCATCATGTATTTATGCATAGCTTAATACAAAAAGCCGAAGCGCCAATCACACAGATTGTATTTTATTCAGAACTCACAAACATATGTTAAAATTTTAAGGAGATTTTAAATAAATTTTTTAATTTAAAATAAAAATTCATATTCGAATGCAAAAACGGTGCATTTGAATTTTAGGTGTGCGTCCAGGAGCCTTATCAGTGGCGCACAAGATGTGGTGATGATGATGATGTAAGTGTCATTGTTGCAGTTTATTGTTTTTGTTAACCTATCAAGTTGAAGCCACGAGATGCGCCGCTGCTGCGTTTTTTTATTCAAAATACTAGAGAAATATAGAAGCTCAATATGGAGAAGATCATTCACATAGAACACATAGTTGGCGCATTTTCAAGACGGACAACTGTGACTGTTGTTCTCGCGTCTCACACAAGAGATGTATAGAAAGCCATGTAAAGTTAAAAGAGGTTCAACTTTTGTCTCTGGAATTGTAGGGGTTTTATTCCATTCCACTGCATCTCTGATGTCACAACTTATTGGCTGTCTGCTTGTCACTCATCGCACAGGCCTATATCGTGCACTATACAGAACATTTTTTCTATCGTATTGATTAAGGGGTACCGTCGATAAATACCGATACCGTTTTATCGCCCAGGCCTAAGTAATCCACATTAATCCAAGTCTTCTGAAGAGACCTGATAATTTTATTTGATGAACAGATTTAGTTTAGACTTTTACTGACATAAACATTGATAAACGTGCATTCATACTGTAGAGCTCATCAAATATGGTAAGCGGAAACGCAACCAAACTTGATTTACACGTAAGAACAAACATCTTCGGTTCTCATGCATCAAGCAAGCACATTTGTGTCTCTTCAGAAGATTCAGATTAAACTGCTTGATTCATATGGATTAGTTTCACAATGTCTTTATGAACTTTTTGATGCATCAAAGTTTTGATGGCGATATACATTTTTGGGTGAATTATCCTTTTAACACACTGTGATATCAGTCTTATGTAGGCTAATAGAAGCATGGGACCACACATTGAACATTACAAATGTAAAACATTATAGATGTTTTTGTCCTACAACAAAATAAATCCTTGGAGAGCAATGAAAAAAAAAAACCTTTGATTGTTTACGTCAGTGTAATGTACTACTTTTTTTCCTCCACAATAAGTACCCAGGTCTCCAATAAAATCACACACAATGATGAGCTTCAAGGTCCATCTCCTCCATTTTATTCATCCTTGAGCAGTGAGCGCCAAAGAATCCTTCCTTCCAACCTTCAACTTTCTTAATAAAAAAAGTCAGAGGACACGTACACCTTTCTCCACATATCAAGGTCAGGAGACTGAAATGATTTCTTTTATCACTTTCTTCAAAGTGCCTTTATAACCACCCATGCCCTGCAAAAGCATCAAGGCTCTGACACGCATAAAAGCGACTTGCAGCGAGAGTGATGTCCATTACTTGAGCTACAGTGAGAGATAAACACAGACCTGAATTAAATTCATTTTGACCTCGTTTCGATGTGTTGGTCTCATCTCTGGCTTACTCAATCTGAAAAGAATGCTTAAAAAAAGCGCACCTTCAGTGGGCACTTTAGTGTTTTAGTTCAGTGCTCAAGTGCATTATCAATGCTTGAGTTAACCGTCTACCACAGCCAGTCGGTGATGAATTAATTCACTAAAATGAATTTTCACGCTATCAAGCGTGTTTGACTGCTGCAGGTTGAGTAAGACATTTTTCTTGCTGTGTCAGATGACAAGACATATATTAAAATTACAGGCCAAAAATTAGACACCATTTGCATATTAAAGTGAAAGCTTCTGTTCAGAGGATTGTTATTTGAGTTCAGGTTCTTTGCCACGAGGGGTCTTTTACTGACACACTGAATGCTACAGGCAAAAGGAAGCATCATTAAAAAAAAAAAGGCTACTTATTTTGTGTTCAGCCAACTGAGTGCTTAACCTGAGTGTATTAAGATGAAGACATCTTGGTCTATCAATAACTGACACTTCAAAACATACACACACACAAAATATTATTTGCTCATTCGCTCAAGTATACACTTACCAAGCCTCATTGAAAAGATACAGTGGTCTCTTGCACTTAAGCAAGTGACTCTATATTCTTTATAGACTGACTGCATTTATGCACATTTTTAAAGCACCCACAGGAAAAGAGCTGAATGGCAAGGGAGAGTCATTGTGAGATAGTGTGTATGTGTAGTACCTCTTTCTGCGAGAGCGAGCAGGCCTCTTTGCCAATGGTTTGCAGTGCAACGTGAAGCTGCCCCTCTAAAATCAGCTGTTTGTTATCCTCCACAACATATGCCTGAAACGACACATTATATGATTAATACAATGATATTTGTCCTCAAATCTTAACAGTATCAGTAACGCCATGCATTAATTACAACAAAACTTCAATGAGGTGCTGATTTTCTATTGACAGTACAAGTGATCAACGCCAATGCTGTTAAACACTGGTGCATTCATCCAAAATTAATACTTAATAATTAATAAGTGCAAAATGCTTAAGCCAATTAGTTTGGTGAACAAATATAAGTTAGTGGCCAGTTGGCTGGTAATGCTTTTAGAAATCACCTTGTATTATTATCAACATTTTTATCTATTATTAAGGTTTAAAACGGGGATCTCAAACAGAAATGACATGGGTGCCAGTTGACTAGTGATGTAGTACTCAAGGTTATTTTCGTAAAACATTGGTTATGGCAAGAAAAACCAAGAGAAAATGTGTTCAGGTTATATTGGCTGTTTTTTGTTACTGTTGTAGTTATCATGCATGGCCTGATTCACGGATGTCATCAGTGGTTATGTGTAATATAGTTTATGTTATTGATCACAACTGCATTTTAAAGAAATACGAAGAGCTTTTAAAAACACTTTGCAAAACTTTTCACTTTTAAAACTGAAACTAAACTATATAAAAACTAAAGAGAAATGTGTTCACAAAATAAAAACTAAACTAAAACTAACAAAATTATTAAGGAAACAAAATTTTATTGCAAATTTGAAAACGATATTAAAATAAAACGAATTTAAAAATGCAAAACTATAATAACCTTGGTAGTAATTAATGACAATTTGAAAAAATGTTGACAATTACATTTTTCCCATCCACTATTGAAGGAAAAAAGAACTATATGCAGATTTTGACTGTATTTCTTACTGTTAAAAATAGTTCCCTAAACAATTTAAAATAATCATCATTACTCTCATGATTTCTGAACAAAAAAACTAAAACATTAATTTTATCAAATTTGGTAAATGTGTTATTGTGCTGTCTGGTAAATGGTAAATTGCTGCTTTAATATATTAGGTAAACATGTTAACTTTGGCAGTCCTAAAAAAATTTATATATATTACTAATTATATTTACTACATTAACTAATTAACTAACATTAATTAAAATTTCAAAATGTAAGAAAAAAAATTCTCTATAATTTTGAAGAAAATTCAAAAAAAAAATAAAAATATGGGGTGCTGTGTGTACATTAATGAGGAAAAAAAATTAACTTAAATGATTTTAGCAAATGGCTGCAATATAACAAAGAGTGAAAAATTTAAGGGGGTCTGAATACTTTCCGTACCCACTGTATATAATTTCCTTGAATGAAAAAATATTCACTCTCCTTGAATCAAAATAAACGTTGGAACATTTCATCAGGGTACCTTCCAGAGGACGATGATGTCAAGCTCTACTTCACTGCATTTTTTGACAATATTTGTCACACCGTCATCAGTCCCGCTCTGTCTCCATATTTGACTAGCACCGCCTGTGGAAACGCCCCCTCTCCTGGGTTCAGAGGGCAGACCTCTCCGGAAGAAAAAATCAGCACATGGAGTGGTAGAGCTCACAATCTAATGAAAGAGAAAAAGACAAAGAGAGTGAAACACAATGAGGACTGTTGAAAAGCTGAATGAAGACGACAGTCAGTGACGCATAACTCTCAACATCGATCGGAACCAGTAGTGAGAACAAAAGGGCATACTTACTTGTTCGTTGCCAAGGTTGAGATCGGCAAAGGTGTATTTTTCTGAGGTAGCTGAGGCATTAAGGGAAAAAAAAATGTCAGTATGTTCAAACATCAGCATGTTAACCAGTTTGCTGCATTTTCATTGGCCGTGAGCAGCTGTGATTGCGGAGACAAAGTTACATCTAGGAATTTAATTGATTCGCTAAGAAAATTGTACACATCAACATGTGCATTTTGGAAATCTGATTCACATCTTGGTCTTTCCAGACAGCATTTATGCAATGGTGCAAATTTTGCATAAAAATACATGAAATGCATGATTTGTGTATGTGCGCGTGAACTGGACGCCCCACCTTCCTCTGTTCTGCATCTGGTGGCTTTGAAGCACAGCTTCCCCCTCTCCCTGCTGGCCAGCTTAGAGTCTGCAAACACAACACGAAATGAAGGCAAAAACAAGAAAGATGATGAGTGTTCATCCACTTACTCTCAGAAAATCTTTCTTTTTGGTGCTCCCACACCAGAGACTCAAATACATGAAAACAGTTCAGATGTCAAGGTCAGTTAATTAACTCTTCAAAGCAAAGTGCATTTTGTTATCCTTGCTCCATATTTCACAAGCTGTTTTCCGTGTTTCTTGATTATTGCTTCAAAGGTTTAGTTTTAATTAGCCTCAGCATTTTTGCACATACCTTCATGTGAACTCGGGTCATAATTACACTTACTTTAACACGCCATATGATAGTTTTGTGTGCATAACAGACCAAAAAGTAATTATTTACAGAAATAATTTGTCACAGCTGTCAAATCTCATTTGCGCTCATGCATATTCAAAATTACAAGATTTGGCAAACCAAGTTTGATGTCACTAGCCAGGTGTCTATTACAGATTTGCACAAAACTTTTGCAATATTTTATAAATGCTGATAAAAAACCTATTGCGTTTCCATTAATCGATGTTATGCGAATACAATTTTATTTTTTTCCTCTCACGACAAGTCATGGCAACGTTGGTAGTTTTACATATATTTCAGCCACCGCACTAACCATTATTTTTAATATGCGTGTATCTTTAGTGAAGCGTCGCGAAAAGCCTCTTCTGGGACGATTCTGAAACGTGCCGCGGCGTGGCTGGTATAAACAAGCATCGACTAGAGTGGCCGATGCACCACAGACGTGTGCAGTGTAAATAAGGGGTTATCCAAGCATTAATGGCAAGGAAAGCCCTTTATACTTGAGAGCGGCCACGTATGAGATGTTTCTTGGAGGTTACAGTACATTAAAGAATGATCAAGTGACTTTTACGTACACCAGGTGGCCTGTTAATGTGAAAAAAAGTTTACATTGCAGTTTTGTGATATATTCCTTTTTCGAACTGCCTGAAAAACCACCTCATGTGAGCGTAAAAACCTTTTTGTGATATATGGGAGTTTCCATTGGGCATATTTTCAATTTTCAATTTGCGCAGTTTGAAGGGTAATGGAAACACCGCTACTGACTTCTGTTGTAACCGTAAAGCACTTATTGTGAATATACTGAAGTGTGAATGAGATTTGAGGGATGTAGAAGAGAATGAAAATGACTAATATAGCCCTATTTGGACGGTAATTGTTTCTCATGAGGACGTAAGTGATAATTGCCGTCTGAATCCAGAATGTCTGTGTTTTTCTCTCACCACCCCCGTAAAAATCCACGGCCGAATTTCCTACCGTTTTTTGACAAACACCAAGGTCGTGTGGTAATTTAATTGCCGTCCGAATCCACATCTCTGAGTTTACGAGAAGAAATAGATTCAAAATTCAGTGTTTAAACCCTTTTTGAGCACTCCCGAACACCGTAAGGTAACTATTCTACTTCGCTGTAATTTACATGCATATTTATTTCTGAAATGCTGGAAAGTATAAAAAAAAAAACAACACTTCATAACTGCTCCACCACAGCGACTGGGAGCAGAAAGAGAAGAAAAGCATGTAAACATTCGAAATGGGTCTTTCTTATGGCAGCAGTAGGTATGCAATACAAGTTTAAAATGTGTATTATATAAACAGATATATACATAACTATATCGCGTATAATTATATACAACTATAGCGCGTCTATTTTCTATTATTAAACAGGAGATTTAAATAATCAAATAATAAATAGGATTTTATATTATAAAATATGCTTGGAATAATAAGAATACATTTTACATAAGTATTTTTAAATACATTTTACACAATAAGAATAAATTTGTAAACGAAATGAATTTTATTTACAGCAGACAATCATGTGACTGGCCACGTGAGCAGCGCGTTCCTGGGTTCATAGGATCACAGAACTCGTTCCTTCACTGTGAATAAATCGCCATCCAAACCCATGAGTTTTATTTATTTTTACAGACGTCCATATGAGAAACAATTACCGTCTGAATCGGGCTTATGAATGAATAACCTCAATTTCCTTACACAAAGTTATTGTATGATTTCAGAACTTTTTTGCGCTCTACGGAAGAGAGTCATATGGAATTGAAACAGCATTAGGGTGAAGACTTTCACACTAAAAAAAATTATATTCTGTCATCATTTACTCACAGTCATGTTGTTCCAAACCCATAAGACTTTTGTTCATATTCAGAACACAAATGAAGATAATTTTAATATTCCCTCAAAATCATTGGTTCTCTAGTATCAAACAAGCAAGTTCAAGCTTCTATTTATGATATTTGATGTGCTGGATTTATGGCCATAGATCATGTGAATAAAACCCTAAAACTGAATCTGTTCATCACACGAAGAGATTGTGTCTCTTCAGAAGATTTGGGATTACTGCTCTATACACATGGATTACTTTCACGCTGTCTTTATAAACGTTTTGAAGCATCAAAGTTTTGGTGGAATGGACTTTCAATGGAGGGACAGAAAGTTTCATGGAAAATATTTTCATTTGTGTTTCCAAGATAAACAAAAGTCTTACGGTTTTGGAACATCATGAAAGTGAATAAATGACAGAATTTTCATTTTTAAGTGTGAGAAACAAACGAAAGTATGAAGCCATTGTGACCAACAGATCAAACTTTCTGATTAGATCCTCAGAACTCAAGATCTTTCCATCCCACTTGAAACCTTGGTGTCCTTTCATGTCTCAAGCATGGGATACTAACACAGCAGTTGGCTGGAGCCAAAAGTTTAGTAGAAACATTTTATTTTTCTTTCAAAATGAAAAGTATTCAAAGACTAACAACAAGGAAGTATTCTTCATTTATTTGTAGCTGTAGGTCCATGATCCATCATCTCCTCAGATTAAAGACACTGTTCCTTCAGACCAATAAATTAATTAAAAGTACGGAATTAAAGAACTCTTCAGGCATATTATTTTAACTATTTACATTGTTATTAACTTTGCAGAATGATGCAGGCATAAATGCTACTAAACAACACCAGCCGCTGGGCTGCTGTGTGAAACAGAAGATTGATTTTACACACTTAAGCAAACACTGATTTAGCTCTGGAAGTGTTGCGCTCAGTTAAATATGCATTGTTTTGAAGCCACAAGTTCTTGTTCACGTATTTTCACATCATTAAATGTATTCACCTCATCCAAGCTGACGGCACAGGATGAACGCATGCACGGGATTCAATTTTCAATTTAGTACGCCACTAAAATGCGTATGCCTGCATGTTTCACACACTCAGCACAATTTCAAAGTGACCTAATTTCAGAGCAGCTGCATCACTCTCTGCAGGGTGTGTATGAGCGTGCGTTTCTCGCTCTTAAGGTATCAGCTGTACAGATGGATCAACACAAATGCAATGTGACCCACTTTCAATAGGCCATTTAAAGGCTGCAGGTCATGGAACGTACCATTGTGCCTCTGTACCAGCTCCCAGCTTCTTTTGATACTCTGCTTGGCCTGCTGACATGCAATCAAGTTCCTCTGCATCAATATTCACAATGCTGGAGGTGCATATGGATGTATGTAGGCAGATCGTCCTTTACACAACATCTTAAAACAGATCTGTGTGATGTTTCAAAGGAACTACAGATGTGCAAAACTAAATATTTTTAAAAACCGACTAGTCTGTGGGTTGTCTGCAGCTGGGGCTTTCAAACTTATTTTCAGCCAAGAACCCCAAAACATGACGATTCCCTTTTTATATAAAGGCGGTTTATATAGAAAGCCACTTATAATGTATAAGACAAATACTAAGCATGATATTATATGAACTTCAAAATTAAATTATTGCTATAGATTGTCATTGTCTGTAAAAATTACTAGAGAAATTAGGGCTGTAATAGGTAAATGTGCTTTTACAATATTATAGAAATATTTCATAATACTTCACTTAAAGTGCTTATATATAATGCATTATAAAAGTAGTTTTGATGCATTAATTATGTACCTTATAATGCATTGTATGATCTCATGAATAATTGTAAACACATTTGCAACACTTTATAATACTTACCTATTCATTGTTACCCCTTTACAAAGTATAATGCATTAAAATACATGACAAACAAACCTTCACATATTATTATGCATTACAACCTACATCATTAATGCCTTTATAATGCATTATACACAAAGGCTTTAAGTACAGTGTTAGCAAGTATTTACTTATCACCAAATGTTTCTACTTTATTTGGTTTATTCTCTAAAAATGGGTTGGAAATCATGAGATTAATGGCAATTATTTTGTGGGATTGGCAGCTTTAATTTTAACAGAAAAAGAAAACAAATCTGCATATATTTTTGTGAAAAAAAGTGTCACCATTACACTGTCAACCTTACAAAAAGTTATTTTAAATAAAAAAATATATATATTTAAAAACATTCCATGTTGTCAATATAAACGCTAATAATTAAATTTTGAGAAAAAATATATTAGTATTTTTTTTACACAGTATACATTTTTATTTTTATTTTAAGACATGCAAATATATAGCTGCCTTAATATTTTAAGAAAGTGGTTCTCTACCAAAGGGTAGAAAACTGTTTGATAAGAAACACTTGACAAGAGCAAAGGAAGAATCAAGATATTGATTTTAGTCTGAGGAGCGCAAGATGAGGCAAGAGGAAAGAAAGGAAATCATTTATGAAGGACCGACATTATGAATTGTGGATATTTTGCTATGCATCTCGCTTTGTGTTGGATGGAAGAAAAAAACTCAGGCACAGAACCAATTAAAGGAGCGATCCACATGCAGACTACCAAGCAATGTGGAGCAAAACACTTAACCTCAGGTGGCTGCAAGAGGAATGAAAGTGTCTGCTAAGACACTAAGTGCATGTAACCAGAGCATGCTGGAGGATTCATACCTTTATCTCCCACAGGGTTGATGCACTTGTGCAGCCTCCACTGCCGACTGCTGCTGGACACTTGAACTATGTGAAACTCACGAACACCTGCTTCGCTCTGACAGAGAAAGTTAAAGTTTTTAAAAATACTTTTACATTGCAATAATTTCACATTCAATCTTCAAATTAATGTAAAAACTAGAGCCCGACCGTTATGTTTTTTTTTGGGGAAGCCGATACCGATATTAGGGAGTAAAAAAAGACCGATACCGATATATCGGCCGATATTCTTTATGTGTAGGCTATAATTTAGTACAGTATAGTCAAAAGTTTGGACACACTTCCTATTAGTGAATTACTTCCTATTCCTATTATTAAACCTCTCATGGCAGCGTCATCAGCTTGAGATCGTTTTTTTTTAGATCTGCCTTATTAGAGACCGCCGATCAATCTACAGTAAATTCAGTTTTTATGACTGGATTCCACGATTCTGTCCATGTTTTCTGCATCGCGGGAATTACAGGGCCCTAATAATGTAGCAAACGAATATGATAAGCTCATTGTGAGAGTAAAAGATGGGGACATTGTTGTTTATTTACTTAGCATTGAGTCTCTCCAACTAGGTGACAACGGTGCGTTAAATCACCATTCAAAGAGACTCAAGCCACTACAAAGCGACCGCTGAAAATCATTTGAACTTTGTGTCAGCACGTCATAAATAGAACGAGGCATCAGTTTACTGCATCCAGTGTAGACAACATCACTGATTATAATGGGTTCCATTCTACACCGGATGCGAGCAGCACGACAAAATACAATAGAATTCTATTGTATTTTGTCGCGTCGCGCGATGTGATGAGCATGAGTTCTGGGCCGCGGCGCGGCACACCAGCATTGACTGAGTGGCCACGATCAGCTCCGGTGGCCATAACACAGGCTTTAATGCGCCGCAGACGCGTGCCGTGATGCGCAGATCAGCTCTAGTCTCTAACGTCACTGAATCTGCTGTTAAAAAATGAACCATCCATTCATTATATCATCATGCAAAACTAAGAATTAGAATCATTGTAATGTGACGATCAAATATAGGTGCGGGTGCGTGGTGGGCGGATAATTTGAAGCAGCGGACTCGGGTAAAGTTTGAGCTCTCTACACTACACTGACCTGGGTCGCCAGTAGCAAACAATGGAGCGTGCTCTGCTGGACAAACTAAGTAATTACACCATTCAGAAGCATTTAATCTGCGTTATATATTCTGTAAAAAAAAAAAGTTCATATTGGCCGATAATATTGGCTAAACGATTTATCGGTCGGGCTCTAATAAAAACAACAAAGACAGTATATTCAAGTGCTATAACAAGTCTATATTTCTATTATATTCTATTATTATATCTATATTTTTAGTATCTTTATAATGGCATCTCTTTTTATGACTGAAGGTCAGTATCACAGAGACATCAGTAGTATTGGTTTCAATGAAATTGTTTCTTTCCCCTAATATTTAACCATTGACTATAGCCATTCAACATTACAAGAGCTATCAATTTGAACATTTATTACACTTCTTAAATAACTTCTGATTTAAGTGAACTTAAAACAATCTTCACATAAACCCATTATAATAAATGTCATATTTAGTTACCTGTGCCCTTCAGCAAGTAGAAAATATACAGAAATTGAATAACGTTATCAAACACTAAATTCTAAATTTAATATAGATGAATCCTTAAATCCTTAAAGGTTATTAGGTTTTTTGGCTGCTATCCCTTTAAGAGCTGCCGCTGCTGAACGTGACGTGGATCAGACACGCATCTCTTTAGTAACTTCATGACTTAACTGACGACATAACTACGACATTGCATGCTCGTTGTTTCTTTCGCACTTTGATATGAAATGCTACAGGCTACAGCGCGCGCTGGCGCATTTGTGCGTGCAATTGAAGAGCACGCGCTTTGAGCACAGTACCGTTTCCGTGCTCGTTTGACTCGCACATGCGCTGAGGCGGAATGCGCGTCTGAAAAGTCTCACGTTTGATGTGGTCGTAAAGACGTTTTGCGTTTTAAATAAACAATGTTTTGTGCCGAGAAAAATAAGACATAAGCAGCAGTTGTGAGTGGGGTGGCCAACCCTAGTCCCGGCCTTGCATTAACTGCGTTAAATATTTTTCATGTGTTAAACTGAAAAAAATTAATTGCCTGTGTTAACGCGCTAATTTTGACAGCACTAATATATGTGTGTGCATGTGTGTGTGTGTGTATATATATATATATATATATATTCAATGCTTCACTCGTCTGCCATATTAATGGCAGTTAATAGTTAATGGGTGTGCATGTTAAAGACTTTTTTTAATCGTTAACAGTCAGCAGGTATTGAATATTTAATTGTGCATGCTTATTTACCATTTTAAAATGCAGATTAACTTCTGTAATCTAATGCTGTAATCTAATGCTCACTTGCAGTTAAACTTTAAAATACACTAATAATAATTTTATAACACTGCTAAATGTAATCTTTAGCAAATCTCAAGGTGAATATAAATTTTTCATACTGTATGTTAAAATGTTGCCTAAATTCACTTTCAGCAAGCATAATGATTCATTTTAGTTTTTAGCTTTTTATTTTTAATTTATTTACATAAATTAGTAGATAATTTCACATCTGTGCATCCCTATTGCCACAGTGTTCAGACATTTTATGAAGTGCAAGAAGAGAAAGTACTAAGATGAAAAAAAAGACACATGAGCAGTCCATGTGTGGGAAAGAGCTCACTGTGTTAATGTTCTCCACGTCCACAAAGACCAACATGCTGCCGTTCTTCTCCTCTCCTTCCTGCCGTTCTTCGGTCTCTCTCTCTCTGCTGTGCAGTGTGTTGCTGCGGCTGGCCGTGGCTCTGACGCTGAGAGATCGGCTTGCGCAGATGAAAGCCGTGTGTCGAAGGACCCTGTGACTGAAAGTATCAGAGAAATTCAAGATGAGTCACTGGAAGTCATGTGGTAATTTTCAAACTCTAAATGATGTTAAAGGCCAATGAGTCCTCTTTAAATGGCAGACAGCAAATTTCCAAATGAAAATGCATAGCTTATGTTTGATTATCAGCCACTTAACAGCGGAAAACCACAACTGTTCAGCATCAGCAGTAGCCAATGAAAGGAAATTATCTTAAAATATCTTTAAAACCTTATATATGGAGTAAGTTTTATTTTGGAGATTTTGCCTTTATTAGATAGTACAGTCGAGGAGACACAGGAACAAATATTTCGCACTAATATTTTCGAATTCCTATTTAATCTATTGAGTGCCATTTGGTGGGTCTCTAAAAATAGCAACCAACACCACTACACCACATTGCTTTTAACAGAAAACAATGGTATTCACAGGTAAAGTAGCTTACTTATTGAACACATTGTATCAATAATTATATAACTATAAAGCACTAATGTACTTTTTACATTACAACCACCTTTCACTGTATAGTGACCAAAAACTGCTTCGGATAAATACATTTGAAACTATTACATAAATGTGATTACATTATAAAAATAAAGTATTTATATTATTATTGTTACTAATATTACCATATTATTATTTATAAAAAGTATTATCACTGTATTATATATATATATATATATATATATATATAGTTTGTTTAGTGTTACTAATACTACTAACAGTATTAATATTATAAATATATTATTGTTACTAATAATAACAATAGCAACATTTGTATTGACAGTGACATTAATTTTTAACATATTATTTATAACAGTATTATTTCTATATTATACATACACTATACTTAAATGTAGAATTGTTACTAATATTATTATAGCATATTATTTTTTATTGTAGTTATTATAGTATTATTATAGTTATAATTAATAATTATTATTTATAATATTATTTAGTAATACCTTTTGTATTGTTTAACAATGGCGTTTTTTGGTAATTAAAATATTCAAAATATACATGTGTTTAAAATATTTTTGTTTTAAATTATTTAAAAATGTTTTAAAATGTTTTTTGTTTGTTTTTAAAATGTTTTTAAAATATATTTATTCAATAAAAAATTTTGTTATCGGACACTTAAAAATGCACTTCCGGTACTAAACATGAAGCAGTACATATCTTTAAACAACAGGCTGCTACTACTACCATGTGAAGTCTTAGTTGCGTTTAATTTCTTAGAATGCAAAATGAAAATAAGTGGATTAATAATAAAATGCACTTAAGTGAATTAATAACAGTCCAGCAATATGTTCACAATATATACACCCAAAGAAGCTACACTGGCTTGAGAAAAACCTTGCTCAGTTCTTAGTATTGTCCATTATTAGTCCAAATAAAGCATAAACGGCCATGTACCTGAGTTTGGCGGTCTTCTCTGTACTCTCATAGTAAAAGAGGAAGTTGATTTCATGGACACCCTCTCGGTCGGGCCCCCTGAGCCATAATGGGATCTGCAACGCCTCCCCAGGTCCCAACACACCTTGTGATAAAGGAATCTCTGCCACTACTGGCCGGTCACCGCTGGTGACCCCAAACGCTGCTGGAGACACGAGCGACACGATCTCCACTGATGGGGGCATGGCCACAGTCTTGTATGCAGAACAGTGCTCTGCTGCTGTGGGGGTCACTGGGGTGAGGTCAGAGGCGGCACTCCCGAACGTGAAGAACTCTGGGTGTGTGGACGCCACCCGAAGACCAGTGAGAGGGACTGCACTCACATTCACAAACTCCACCCACGCTTTTCGGATCTCACCACACAATAAACCAGTGGGGAAGTTAATGAAAAACACCTGGGTGGAGAAGGAAAGAGAAACAGTAATTGCATGGTTTATCCAACAGAGGTTTGACTATTGATATAAAGTCTGGTGCACATGTAGCTTATTCTTGCAAAGACCCACCACTTAACCCTGCCAGGAACAGGAAGAAAAATATAATTTAGGGATAAAATAAAATTTGAATTGTGTCTGGGCCTGAAAGGGTTAAACCGAGAGCAAAGCCACAGTTAATCACAGTAAAAACCATAATTAATCATTTTTTGTTACAAGTAGAGAAAGGTCGATATGAAATTGACAATATCACACCAATTGAGTGCAAAGTTCAAACTTATTGACATAAGAGCACTCAATGAAAGTCTTTCATTCAGTCAAAATCAATAATTACTGATAATTTCACAAACATAACTAAAGCACAAAGCTGAACGTCCTTGAGGACTTTGTTCACCATCTTTTTAAAAAGAGATTCAATGCCTTGAAATAAAAACTTAAATCCACCAACTACAGTAGCACTTCCTCAGAAGCCATCAATGTAGACTGGTAACTTAAAACAAATCTTCATTATAATGCCAACATTTTTGTGTCAAACAAATCATTGAATGGTTGATTTAGATGTAGACGGGTTTGTCTCTTCATCAGCACAAATTTAAAGAAATGTATCATTACATCACTCGCTCACCAATGAATCCTCTGCAGTGAATGGGTGCCGTCACAATGAGAGTCCAAACAGCTGCTAAAAACATCACAATAATACACAAATAAACCAGTCCAACGATTACCAACTTGTGAAATGAAAATCTGTGTGTTTGTAATAAACAAATCCATCAAGATTTAAGTACTTAACTTTAAACTGTTGCTTCTGGCTCAAATGTGAGTCCATAATGCATATTAACCCTTCCTCCAGTGAAAGCTTTTGTCTTCTCCAGATGTTAACTGATGGACTGGAGTGGTGTGGATTACTTGTGGATTATTCTGATGTTTTTATCAGCTGTTTGGACTCTCTTTCTGACGGCACCCATTCACTGCAGAGGATCCATTGGTGAGCAAGTGATGTAATGCTACATTTCTCCAAATATGTTGCGATGAAGAAACAAACTTATCTACATCTTGGATGGCCTGAGTGTGATACATTTTCAGTAAATTTTCATTTTTGGATATACTATGATGCAGACATTTTGAACAGATTCAAAAAAATAAGCTGAACTTGCTCTTACTTGATTTTATGCTAATAAAATATTTAAATATAAATTATTTAAATCACTGCAATATTCACAATACAGCATAATTTTATATATCCCCACCAAAATCAATGTGAATATATCGTAAATATTCAATACATCACTCAGGCCTTGCACTGCAAACTGAGCACTGTAAATCATTAAACAGTCTCGATTTAACTGTGACGAGTGCTTTTATACAGATCTGCTCTCAGGACAAGTCCTGTAGCTTATTAAAGCTTAAAATCAAAGTTTGATTTACTCAAACACACCTCCAATAAGGGCATAAGAGGAGTGATAATGGGGTCCAGGCGGTGATCTGGTCCATATGTGACGGAAGTCTTTTCTTCTTTGGTCATATTGAGTCTGGGTCCCTGGATCTCCAGATTCTGCTGTCCACGAACACACATCAGATCCTCGGCCAGCGAGCCTGCAGCACAAACCAATCACATCTACAGTTAGTCTTACATCAGATAAATAACTTTAACTGTTGGTTTCAGTGTCTACAAAACATCAAAGAGTGAGTGTTTGTGATACACCTTCACTGTTGTCTACTTCTCCAGTGCCCAGGTTGTACACCACACCAAGAACATGCAACTCTCCGGTCTTATGAGGAAGCAACTTCAAACGGGCCTGAGAAAGCGAGAGCAGAACAAACACAAGAACACAAAGCCAATCCAGGTAAAGCAGTGGGGAGAAAGAAAAAAATTAGAAGAGGAGAGATAAGAGGAAAAGGGTGCACAAACCACTTTGGTCTCCTCTGGACTTATGGTGAACTCTGGAATGACTTGCGTATCAATGATGTCATTGAGGGCCATGGTCTGGAATGGATTCAAATGTAGAAGTTAATCAAACTGATGAGAAACTCGAAGCTGGATGCCTCAGGCACGATGAACCGAGAGACGATTAACAGCCTTACTTCTTTCAAAGATGCTTTCTCATTGGTGATGGTTTCTCCGGCTGTGTTGCCCTGAGGGTCTGAGAAGTCTTTCGGAGTAAACTTCCACAGCAGACACAGAGCCGACAGAGCCAAGGGAATCTTCAGGGGGTTCCGGAAAACCACCTCCACAATGATGGGCTCTATGACACAAAAACAAGAAAGAAGCCAATGAATTAACAGCAAACGACATGACAGAAAACGATGGGAAACAGGAACAATACATGACTCAGATCTGAGGATGTACCAGTTGAGCTGCTACAGTAAAACTACAAAAGACTAAGGCTGATGATACACGGGGCAACTTTTTGAGCAATTTTGCCGGGCAACTTTATTTGAGCAATGTTGCTTGGGCATTTTCCCACTGAGAATGGGTAACAATCTTCTATCTGGATCATTTAGATCAGTCATGGGCCCTGTGTCTCACCTGGTAGCCCACTGATGGCAACATTAACCAAAGTTGCTTGGCAACATTGCTCAAAAAGTTGCCCCGTGTATCATCAGCCTTATTAGATCCTTAACGAGATAGTTCACTCCAGAATTAAACTTTCCTGACTATTTACTCACCCATATATCATCTAAAATGTTCATGTCTTTCTTTCTTCAGTCGAAAAGAAATTAAGGTTTTTGAAAAAAACATTCCAGGATTTTTCTCCATATAGTGGACTTCAGGGACCAAAAGGTTGAAGATCCAAATTGCAGTTTCAGTGCAGCTTCAAAGGGCTCTACACGACCCCAGCCGAGGAATAAGGGTCTTATCTAGCAAAACGATAAGTCATTTTCCTTACAAAAAAAAAAAAAAAAAAAAGATATACTTTTTTTTTTTTACCACAAATGCTCATCTTACGCTAGCTCTGTGATGCGCATCCACAACTTCATGCATTACGTAATCACCTCCGCTAGGTTTCAGAAGATTCAAACATCCAGGATACACACAAACGGACCATTTTAAACAATAAACTGATACAAAGACATAAATGTGTGTCATTCAACATAACTTTTGAACGTTCCTCCTTCTCCACACTTCTAAACACTGGGCATGACATTTCCAATGTGACTACGTAATACACAAAGTTGAAACGCATTGCAGAGCTAGTACAATATAAGCATTTGAGGTTAAAATGTATATACATTTTTATTTTTTTAGAAAATGACTTATCGTTTGGCTAGATAAGACCCTTAGTCCTTGGCTGGGATTGTGTAGAGTCTTTTCGAAACTGCACTTAAACTGCAATTTGGACCTTCAACCCTTTAGTCTCCGTTGTCCTGGAATCCTGAAAATCCTGGAATGATTTCCTCAAGCCATGAACCTCTTGGATAACATGGGGGTGAGTAAATTATCAGGAAATTTTACTTCTGGCGTGAACTAATTCTATAAGTATAGATACAGTTGTTACATCACATAAAAATATACATTTATATACACATATATGTATAATATTTATTATAATGGGATTGTGCAACTATTGTTATCTGTTTATTGAAATCTTTTTACAAGATCATGTTCTTTTAATGCTAATAACTGATAAACAGCAATCTGATCATTTGTAGTTTAGGCCTGAACGATGGCATTCAAATATACATTACAGCAAAAAACATTATCATTAGGGTTGCACAATTTGGGGAACAAAAATAGAATTGTACATATATATATATATATACATACATATATACATACATACATACATACATACATATATATATATATATATATGTTTGCTGTGTGTTGCACGATTTTGCCTAACATTTAGTGCTTATATATTAATATGACTAATAATAATAATAATTATTATTATATGCTAAATAATTAAACAAAATAAGAAATATTACACGTGTAAGAAAACGTAAATATTAAAAATAAAAACAGTATTTAAGCATAAATAGAACAATAATATTAACAATAATTGTATTTTACAGACGAACTGCAAGGTTACTGCTAGTTATAGGCAGACAGCCTATAACTATACATCATTAGAAAGGTACTTGATCCCACACAAAAACTCTTGAATAGTTCTGACGAGCCACAGTATGTTTTATTTTATGTGTTATGCTGCTGAAATATTTGCTAATGAGGATTAATTATAAGTAGGAACATGGCAGCCTCACTAAAGGGTGTTTGCAGGTGAATGTACAGTATCATGATAACTAATGCATTTCTAGGATCAATACTAGTTTAGTACTTGCAGCACTACATATACCACTGATGAGGCTGCAAGATAATTCCACCAAGTCAAATCCAGGTAAGGCGCTATGCTTCATTAGTTCTCTTTTAGATTTCATGAAATAAAGAGGAAAGCAAATGGTGAATAATTCATCTCAGTCCAATTAAAAATACACTAATAAATCAAAAACGCAGCCACGCAAGACGTCAAACGCAATAACGAAAACCCTAAAGTGCATCAAAACCTCCACAGAATCCAAGAGTTTGTGTCGATGGAGAAGTGCAGGCAATATAGATGTGTTCAAATCAAAAATTAGATGACCAGATATAAAGCACAGACAAAAATGCTTAAAAAGTAGGTGCTGTAGGAGGGAAAAACATACCCTCCACAACAGCGAGGGGGTATCTGAGGTTGTCTGTCTGACTGTTCAGACAGCATTGGGAGGGCTGGAAGGTGATGGGAACTGCCCCTCTATTCACCACGGCGACGACCCGCTCCTCCAACTCCCTCCACAGCGGGGAAAGATCCCGGTCAAACTCCTGATCCAAAGAGACATGCGTTGCGGCTTGTTTCTCGCCTGTGGAAAATAAAGTAAGAGCTTCCATAATGCAACTGGTACTGTACATGCCAGTCAGTCTGAGCAGCAATCTCATACAGATGAGACAAAATAACATGGGCATAAATATCAAATATTTAAGTTCAAATTAGTAGAGATGTGTAAATAAAATTGTACATGTTGGTCATTTATTATTAAACACTATTTTACCCTCACTAACTTGTTTAAATTGTAACAAAAAGCATTGATAAAAAGTATTCAATGTTGTCTGCTCAATTAATATGATAATAAAATGGCATGCATAATTATACAAGAAAAAAGCGGTTTAAAATAGTTTGATGAAATGTAGTACAATGCAGTAAAATGTATCCTTCACAAAAAGTCTGTCCTTCACATACAGTAAAAGTCTATATTATATTATATTATATTATATTATATATTTCGAAACTTTGGGGGATTTAAAAAAAAAATCAATACATTTATTCAGCAAGGACAAATGAAACTGACAAATATCAACAGTAAAGGCTTACATACTTAGAAAAGACTTATTTTGTGAATAAATACTGCTCCTTTTAACTCGCTATTCATCAAATAATCCTGAAAAAAAATGTATCAAGCTTTCCACAAAATTTTAACTGTTTTCAACACTGATAATGAGAAATGTTTCTTGAGCAGCAAATCAGTATATTAGAATGATTTCTGACAGAATCATGTGAAGACTGGAGTAATGATGCTGAAACTTCAGCTTTGCCATCATAGGAATAAATTACTTTTAAAAATGTATTAAAACAGAAATCTTAAATTGTAATAATATTTCACAATATGCAATTTTTTTACTGTATTTTTCGGACAGTCCAAAAGTCTGAGGTTACATGGAAATCTGGGATTCAAAACTTGGAAATAAGCAAAATGATCTGGGATTGAAATTTTATATGTTGCTAACCAAATAAGTAAATTTCTGACATTGATGTTAAGACACTTTGAAGAATGTTCTGCTTCCACTGAAGCTCAAGACTCTTTTTTGGATCACTCCCATTCATGCTGAATAACATGATCATTGGGTTTCCCTTCACACATTTCTTCTCTCGTTACATATATGACTGACAAATCATGGCAGCGGAAAGGGAATATTATGGAAATCAAGAATATATAAACTCAAGAGAGTTGGCTTATGTCCAATCAGCCGGTGTCTCAGAAGAAATGTCTCAGATGCTTCCAGCGTGATATCCGGGCAAAAACTTTAATTAAAAAGGTTTTCACACCTCCTCAGGCCTGTTCTCTTCACCCCACCGTTTACTCACTTTTTTTTAAAGGGCTCATATGATTCGATTTCAAGTTTTCCTTTCTCTTTGGAGTGTTACAAGCTGTTCGTGAATAGATAAGATCCCTAAAGTTGCAAAGACTAAAGTCCCAAACCCAAAGAGATTTATAAAAGTAAAGACTTGTCTACGCCCTCCTAAAACGCCTCATTTAAACACGCCCCCACATTTCTACGTCACGATGTGGG